AAAAAAAAAAAAAAAAAAAAAAAAAAAAAAAGGTACCACAAGGGAATGTGTCTGGGTAATGGAACTGTTGTGAATCTTGACTGTGGTGGTGAAGTCTACATGACAATGCAGCTGTCAAAACTCAGAAATGTACACCAAAAAGAATAAATTCTATTGTAAGTAGAGAAGTTAAAAAAATAAATGTTAAAAACTTAAATGAGGCTGTTTTACAGGTACTTGTCAAACTTTCAAGTGCACAATAATTACCAGCTCCAGTAAAAGTGAAGCAGAAAAAGCCTTTGATAAAATACAATATCCACTCATGACAGAACTTTCACAAACTAAAAATATAATGGAATTTATAAAAATGCTTTCCCCTATGATCAGGAACAAGGCAGAGATGTGTACCCTTGCCATACCTATTCAACACTGTACTGAAAATCAGCCAGTGTAAGTGAGGCAAGAAAAAGAAATAAAAAGCATACAGATTAGGAAGGAAAAAATAAAACTTACCCTATTAATATACAACATGTGTGTCTATGGAAAATCCCAAGGAATCTACCAAAAAACAAAAACTTCTAGTGAATATAGCAAAGACACAGAATACGAGGTCAATGCACAAAAATCAGGTATATTTCTACACACTAACAATTTACAATTGGGAACCAAAATTTTAAAACAACATGATTTAAAATGGCTCTACAATAAATTATATATTATACTTGGGCATATATCTAAACAAAACATGTATAGATCTGTATGTAGAAAATCATAAAAGACTGATGTAAGAAGTTAAAGAATACATAAATGAAAGGACATGTTATATTCATGAACTGGAAAACTCAATGTGATAAAGGTAGATCTACTGATTTAACACAATGTCAATGAAAATCCCAGCTGAATTTTTGGTAGACATAAATAAGCTGATTCTAAAATGCATATGGAAAGGCAAAAGAACCAAAATAGCTAAAAACAATTTTGAAAAAAAGAGTGAATTTGGAGGAATTGAAATATCCAGTCTTATTACCATCAAGCCACAGTAAATATGATATCTTGGTGCAGGCGAAGAGCTATACACATAGTTCTATCCAACAGAACATGGTACATAAATAAACCCAAACAAGTGGTGTTGGGATGGTTGGTCATTCATATTAAAGAAATGAACCCCAACTTAACCATCGCATATTGTTAAAAAGTTAACTCAAAATGGATCACAGATTTAAGTTTAAAACCATAAAACTTCTAGAACAAGAGAAAATCTTTATGACCTGGGGCTAGGCAGACTTCTTAGACATGACATCAAAAGCACAATCCAAAAAAGATAACATTGATAAATCAGACTTCATTAAAATTAGAAACTTTTGCTCTACAAAAGATACTATTAAAAGAATGAAAAGACAAGCTACAGGCTGAGAAGAAATATTTGCAAATCACACATCCAACAAAGGACTTATATCCAGAATATATAAATAGCTCTCAAACATCAACAATAGGGAAAATGTAACCCAATTTAAAACTGGGCAAAGCATGCATACAGATACTTCAGCAAAGAAGATATAAGGATGGCAAAGAAACAAAAGAAAAGAAGTATCTGCTAAACACCATTAGCCATTAGGGAAATGTAAATTAAAGTCACAATGCTTAGAATGGCTAAAATTTAAAAAGTAAGGAAAATACTAAGTGCTGATAAAGATGTAAATAAACTGGAACTCTCTACATCATTAGTGGGAATGCAAAATGGTACAGATATTCTGAAGAACATAAATTTCTCATATGACTCAGTAACCCTATTCCTGGCTTTGAACCCTAAAGAAATAAGCACAAAAACCTGTACATGAATGTTTATAGCAGCTCTATTTATAAATGCCAAAAAGTGGGGGAAAAAGTCTATCAATCGGTGAATAAACTGTGGTATATCCATAAAGTGGAATGTTAACCAGAAGTAAACAGAAATGAAGTATTGATACATACAATAACTTGGATGAATGAATGTCAAAGTCAATTTGCTGAGTCAAAGAATCCAATCTCAAAAGTTACATATAGCATCAATTAATTTATATGACATTCTCAAAAAGACAAAACTATAGAGTTTTAGTGGTTATGGTAGTTGCCAGTGGTTACAGGTATGATGAGGGATAACTATAAGGGATAATGGGAGTTTAAGGTGATAGAACTGTTTGTTTCTGACTACATTAATTGTTATACAAACTATGCCTGTGTTGTAATAGAATTCTACACCAAAATAATAAAGTAGTCAATTTTACTGTAGGAACATTTTTAAAAAATCTGTTTCCTTGTCTGTAAAATGAGGGCAATAATAGGTTTGTTAGAAGAAATAAGTTAATATATGTAAATCATTGGAAATACAGCCTCAGTTATAAGGCATGATCTATAAATGTTATCATTTCTAACAATTTGTTTCATAGGGATTTTTTTTTAGATTATCAAAACATAACCAATCATTGCTCTTCAACTCTTCAGTACTCTGAAATAGTTGTTGGTGGTTTATATAACCTACCAATATTAAGTGAAATTAACGAATATCTCCAGGGGTTATTTCTATTCTATTTTGATACCTAATTTCAATTCTACACTGCAAATCCTTGATGCCAGCTGACCGTTGAGTAGCTACTCTAACCATAAACCCTTACCAACCTTGTACAATGTGCTGGGCACATGGAGAAAAATATGACATGGTCCCAGAAATAGAATAACTTCCAGCATATGGATATAGATAAAGAGAAATGAGAAACAAAAAATCAAACTCTATACTGGAAAAAAAAAATCATCACCATCTTTCTCCAAGGTACAACTCTCTTGTGTTCCCTAGCTTCCTCCAGTAAGTACCATCTTCAAGCTGCAAAAAATGAAAACCTTAGAGTAGCTGCTGGCATTTCCCTTTCACAGTCTTGCATATATGCAATTTATGATCATCAGTGTTTGACAATTTTGACAATCAATCAATATTATAATAACTGGATGTTGGAGATTTCCTTTAAAATACTGAAACAAAAAAATAGGGACAGGGAATTGATAGAAGACTGGCAAATGTTAACAAAGGTTGAAGTTGGGTGATGCTTCCACAGAATTATTTTAGTCATATTACATTTGGCTATGCTTATAAATTTCCATAGGAAAAACTTAAGGGAAAAATAAAAGCTATGAAGCCTATTTTGCTAAACATGGGTAAAAATCCAAAAAGAAGATCACCGAAGAGGAAAAGATTAAAATATTAATATTGTTATTGTTATATCCTGTGGTTAGCATAATTAAATTTTTTCTTTTATACTTTCTATACTTTCTTAATCTTTTACAATATGCAATCATTTCTATAATCAGAATATGAACTATAAATATTTCAAAAAAAATTAAGATGACTTAAAAAACTGATAAAAAAGTCAAAGCTCATTAACCTTTCATGGTCCTCTAGAAAAATCCAAACATGTCTTCTCAAGCTGATACTAAACACATCAAGAACTAAAGCAGTGGATGGAAACTATCTGACTTCAAATCCCAGCTTAGGATCTTACTACCTGGGTGACCTAAGATAAACAACCTATGCTCTGTGTCTGTTTGCTTATCTTTAAAATGGGAATGGTAGTACCCAACCCAGCCTCACAGGGCTCTTGTGAGGATTAAATATGTTAATTCATATAATTCTTAGAATGATCAGCACTAAATGTTTAAATACTATCATTATTACTCATGAACAAGTACTCCCTCATCCGTTCCTGCATTTATTCGACAAATATCTGGGCATCTTTGAGCAGAATTTGCCAATGAATGAAGGAAATATCGTCTCCCCTGAAAAGAAAGGATGATAAGCACTACTCAGGTGAGAATCTGCTTCCAGGTGCCAAAGAGTCATTCCCTCCTTCTCCCTGCAGCCTTTTTTCAAGAAGTCAAGGCTAACGAAGGAAAGGAGACTGGGAGAAATCAGAACTCCCGCATGAATTACAGTGGACTTCCCAGACAGGCAGGAGTGACCCTCTCCTAAAGAAAAATCTCTCAGTGATCAGAGAAGGACCAGGGATACTGCAGCTGGAGCTCTGACCCCATCCTAGGTTCACAGACGCTTTCAGGGTATTGAGTGCTTCTCAGAAAATGAAAAAGTCCTAACAACAAGAGACCCATCTTCTACCACTGTCAGGCTATGTTCTAAGTCTTTTTATTTAACTTTGAAAAGAACTCTATTAGATAGATACTAATACCATTTTAAAGAAAAAGAAACATAGGCAGAGAGATTAAGATACTCGCCTGTTATTATACTGTTAGGAAGTGGCAGAGCTGGCTGATGGTCAGGGGAAAGGGCTGGGGGAGTACAGAACCCAAGAGACTCCCAGTCCTTGCGATGTAAGATCCTGGATCCCTGGCCCTAAGTGGGGATGCGCAGCCGTCCCACACTGGAGAAGGCTCATTCAAAGAAAACACAAATCCCGCCCTTTGCCCCAAGTGGATTCTCCTCCCCGAAAGTGACCGTCGGGTTGCTACCGGCTCCCAGCAAAACGAATATCAGTACGGACGGAAGGAGCGGGACGCAGAGCGGGGAGGGCTCACCTTTCTGGGAGGAACGAAGGCCGCGGCCTAGCGTACCTGGGCCGGAAGTGACTCTGCCTACAGAGACCTCCCGGACTACGCTTCCCAGAATTCCCGATGGGATTAGAGACGGAGCCTCAGCCTCCTATAGCGGAAGTTACCCGACTACACGAGGCTCCCAAACTACACTGCCCAGAATTCCTGGGAAAACGCTCCATCTCTTTGCCTGACTGGGAAGCAAGTGCAGGCTGCCAAGCTGAGAGCCTGGATTGTATTTCACCTGTGCCGGTCCCAGAGGAATTCCTTAATTTCCCCCTTCCTGAAACCGAAATGCTTCCAAAGATAGAGAGCTCGTATATATATTTCTCTATTTTCCCCAGCGGACTGTGCGTAAAACGCTCCTTTCCTGGAGCGGGTGTCTCTGACCCTGTGGATCTTCTGGACAATTCCCGGAATTTCTTACAGGGCAGCACTTCCCCTTAAGTCGTCTCTTTCTCTTTTGGACAGTCAGTATTTGCATAGACACTATTCTCTTTTCGTTAGTCTAATTTTATACTTCTAGGCCAGCTTTACTGCCTTCCCCCTAGAGTTTTTTTTTTTTCTTAAACGCGACACAAACCCAAATAAATTCGACCAAAGCGGGCTCTACTTACCTACCGATCAATCAACCAACCAAGAAAATACCCCATAAAGGAGAGAACGGAGAAGCTTGCAATACGAAAGAAAAAACCAAAAAATTACAGAATGGAAGTGATGTGTGCGCTAAAAATGCACGTACTGAAAGGAAATTGGGCTGATGTATACCGGACACCGAATTTAAGGAATACAAAATCTCAACCTTTCTTTGACTGGATTACCTTTTTATTCCATTTCCGTGTGGACGCGTCTGAAACTGATAGTGCTTTTGCTACCTACCATAATGTATTTTTTGCAAGATCCACAAGAACATGGATGCCAAGACTCCACAAAAAACAGATGCAACCGCTGATGAGGCCATAAGCAGATGGTTCCCACGTTTCCTTGACTTTGACTACTGATGATGAAATGTGACTCATAAGGCAAATGGAAAGGCTGTATTGATACAGACAAAATGTTATTATTATGGGAAGGCACAAGTCCCTTATAACATCCTGCATTTTTTTTTCTTCCTTGGGAAAATTTATTACATCACCTATTTTCACCCTGCTCTTGTTATCATAAATACTTTAAGTTGTCTTATGGAAGGCAGAATGATTCAGGGAAGATGGTGAATGGGTTGACACGATCCAGAAAAGGAAGAGGAAAATAAAAAGGTATAACGGCCAATCTGTGAAAATGCTTAATGGCAGGCCGGGCGCGGTGGCTCAAGCCTGTAATCCCAGCACTTTGGGAGGCCGAGGTGGGTGGATCACAAGGTCAAGAGATCAAGACCATCCTGGTCAACATGGTGAAACCCCGTCTCTACTAAAACTATAAAAAATTAGCTGGGCATGGTGGCGCGTGCCTGTAATCCCAGCTACTCAGGAGGCC